GGCTGCCCCCTACCACGCATGCCAAAACAGTTCTATGACGGTTAGTTTTTCGTCATAGATATATCCACTTCTATGACGAATTTCTAGATTCGTCATGGAAGTTCAAGTATGATGCGACTTCTATGATGAACCGTTTTTCGTCATAAATTCGTCATAAAACTAAAATTATGACGAATTTGGCTCCTTCGGTGACGAAAGTTGTTCGTCATGAAAGTGGATATTCCCAGTAGTGTTACTGGTGGATCCCATCTTTTACGGAATCAATTCCTAGGCGTGCAAAGGTTTCCTCAGACCAGACGACATTGGTCCTCGAGTGCAAAGGCTGAAGGGAGCTTGACTGCAAGACTCACCCATCGAGTAGAGATGAAAGTCAGCCTTAGTCATCTGACGGTGCTGAGTGGAAGGCCGTCGCTCAATGGATAAAAGATGCGCATAATCCTAAATACTTTGTTTTCTTTTTGCAACAGTGATTAATGACATGCCACCACCATATGGGGATTATTTCATGGCGGTAAGCTGACCCATTCTTGTCTTCTAATTTAATTTGTTAGATTAAATTAAGAATAAAGAGATAGCTATCTAGGACTTGTTAGGGCGCTCCCAACCTAGAAACTAGGATAGTATCCATGTTCATTTATTAGGGTTCCAACACACAGAGAGAGAGAGAGAGAGAGAGAGAGAGGAAATGGTTTCTTAGGCTAGTCTCAGTAATGAGTTTCATGGCCTAGTTATGAAAACTGTCATGTCATCTTTTGTGTTGGTAACTGTGACAATAGATCTCATCCAGATGAAACTCTATTAAACACACTCCCTCTATCGCTCTCACCATAATTAACTTGCTAAGTCATCAAATATGCTGATGTGTTACAATATTAATGCAAATAATTCCCAGATGAAACCCCCACTGAGGATGGCCTTAATTAGATAAGAAACTATATGTCTATACACAAAGCAAGATGAGATATATAGATAGATGATAGAGAGAAGACATGTGATTGGATAAAACATTACTTTGAATAAACTACCAATTGGAAATCTCTGTGTAGATTTGGCGAGTATAGAAACTATCTCTTAGTTTCTGGGTTGTGACTGCCTTGGGACAAAACCATTGCAATCACTTGAGGTGCTCTATACCACTTCACATAGTGGAGCTTCTTTACAAATTACTTTGACTAATAAAATTAATAGAAGTATTCACGTTATACACATATACAAGATAATTAATATTACACCTATATTGTATTACCTATATATATATATAATAAATAAGTATATATGTTTGTTGCATAAAGAATTTGCACCAAAGAAAAGTCTAATATGTCATATACCATGCGTATAATAAAATAAATACTTCCTCTTGTTCCAAATATTTCAAATGTAAGTTGTTTAGGATATCAAAATGCTAGCCAAATATGAGACTCCTGCAAGCATTTTTTATAAAAACTATTTAAATAGAGAAAGTTAAATGCCATATGAAAATATTTTCCATGATGAATCCAATAACATTGAGCATGTTTTGTCGATATATGTAGATTTTTATAAATTGATGGTCTAAATAATTGGAAAGGTTTACCTAACTAGAATCCTAAAAACAATCTATGTTTAGAATCCAAGGGAGTAATAGCTTATACATATATTTGAGCTATATATATACTTCATCCCTTTCAAATTATAAAACATTTTGACTTTTCTAGATACTCCGTACATTGTTTTTACTATGTATTTAAATATACACTATGTCTAGATATATACATAAAAAACCAAAATGTCTTTTAAAACGGAGGGAGTACCTTACCAGTAACGTACTATATATTCTGGATACTGTCATTGCCCAAACAAACAGTAAAGAGTGTCTTTTCCACAACGTTGTTGAAGGTTGTGCCTCTCTAGAATTCTACTGTGTAAGCTCGGCAAGGGATCGGAGCAAGTAGATATGGACAAAAAAAAATAAGCACACGCATTGTCCTTTCACTTTTAACAACAAAGATGTTTAATCTGAATGTTTGGCTAAATACCATGTCATTAGCTCCATATATTACATGATTAATTAGAACCTACAGTTTAGCAGATTGATGCACTAGAAGTTAATTAAAAAACTATTTTAAAAAATGTTGTTACAGATTCCAGGGTCATATTATTCAAGTCCATCTTAGCTATTATTTTGACTCATGATCGAAAAATCATTAACACCAGTGTAGGTAGATTGAGCATATAGCAGTATATATATATCCGGTTCATTTGTTATTTCAATCAGAGCACAGTGATATATTGGAACAATGTCACATTTTGATCTGATAATATTAACCCATAGTTACAAGTCCAAAAAGAGTTGATAGTGCTATTTAGGCAGGCAAATACTTCTCCCTCACAGTAAGAAAGACACTTCTGAAGCAGTAAATTTGTGATGGAGTAAAATCTATTACAAAAGGCTATGGGCAGCAATACACGCATCAGAGATTAAAAGGCGCAGTATAAACCTCTACATATTGATGAAGTTACTAACAAAGCCATTAATATTACACTTGATCAGTAAGCAAATTCGTATGTAAAAAACAAATAACAACCCCTTTTACCCTTTCAAAAGTAAAGAAATCAATATGATGAAGTACATAAGTATAAAAACGAGGAACAATGAACAGTATGATGATGTAGACTGCAGAGTATAATATACCGATAAACGAAACTTATCTAGTCTAACATATATATGCACGGAGTTATAGATATTTTTTATTTGTTTCTAGAGAATAAAGCTAGCCAGGCATTAATTAGTGAATTTCCATTTTTCACCGAATATAAGCTAGCTAGGTTCCAAAAAACAGGACCTATAAGCATCTCTACGTTTCAAGGCTTAGTCCAAAAATCATGATCTGGACTTTTCAGCCGCCTGTTTTGATGTAAGTTCTGAATCTTGGCCTAGGCCTATACATAGGGATTCTAAATTTCTACTAAGCTACCTGATATAGAAGAATGTAAAAGAGGATTGGTTCGCCAGAAGAAAGGCATTAATGTATCTAAATCAAGCTATAGCCCTACTAGAGAACGATGAATCATCAGGTTGCAGTTGCAGACATCTATATAGCATGCATAGCATGGAGCCATGGACTGAGTTTGGACTCTGGAAAGAAATTACATACATGCTGAACACAACAAGGGATGAAGGATAAGAGTGAGCACAGGATCTCCATAAGTCCATATGAGAGGCTTCCAATCCATCCTTAATTTGTGAAGAAGGCCACATCAACATGATGGTGGCCTTCCCCTTTTCACCTTCCCAATCCCATATAAATCCCTCTTGCCCCCCTTTCCCATCTTTCAGTAAGACCAAAGACACTTTTCTTGCAACGTTCAGTACCCCATCCCTTTCTAAGTTTCCGACCCATCCCATTGCAAAAAGAATTGCACCCATGCCCTACAGATTGCTAGGTAGTTAGTGAAATCTATGCAAAGCCGGCTGAGCTGACGAGAGGCCGGTACGTACGTACGTGGCCTCTTTTCCTCCCACATCACGCCTCGGCCAGCGCAGTACTCGCATCGCAGGCTGGTGCAGTAAAAAGGGGGGAAGGGATCCAGCGAGCGAGCTAGCAAAGCATCGATCGAAGCAACAGTACACATCGCACAAGAAGGGGGCAAGAGCTGGCAACACATGCAGGCTTCAGAGGCAGCCATCAGTGCATAGCTAGGTTCGTACGCCGATCGTCCTCCTCACCCTCACCCCCATGAATTCCTGGCAGGCGTACCATGGTGTTATGGCCAGTGGCGCCGTTGTTGGCAATGCCCACTAACTTTTTACAGATCACTGGCAGGATCATAAAGAAATCTCTCTCTCTAGCGTGGAGACCCAGCTCGAACTGTGCATATGTATGTATATGCAGTGTACAGTCGAGGCCCAGACAATCCAAACTATACGTAAGTTGGACCACAGATGAGTTATTTCTGTGTCCCCTTTCGTAGCAAGAAAAAGGGAGGAGTCCTTGTTTATTCTTGCTGCGGTAGCCTTCTATGCTCGATACATGTATGATACGCAGAGAAGAAGAACACAAGTACAGCAGTAGTACAATAAAAGGGTGTCCAGGCCTCTCCATAGATATGAGATGTGATGAGATAGAAGCAAGGTTTTCATTTTCGGAAATTAAAATTTATCGGGGGTCACAGATAAAGAGAGATAAACATGATATATCGGAAATATCGGACCAAATTCAAATAAAATTTGATTTAAATTTAAGTAAATTTAAATAAATTTAAACAAAATTTATACGAAAAAGGTAGATATTTTCTTATCGGCGTCTACGGATAAAAATGATATATCGGAAATATCAGGAGATTTCGGCCGATAAAGGAAACCATGGATAGAAGTACCGAATGTGCGAGGGGATTTTAAGATCGCACCTGCAATTTGTTGCTTCAGCAGGCTTGTCATCTCTGTTGTGAATGCGCGATCAATGTCCTCCGTCCATCCGTGCTTCTGCAGTTGCGAGACAATTTGTTCCAGAAGACATACAAGATCATGACAAAGATCGATGCTACTAGCTTTTTCAACTGCACTCACTGCATATACTTCTTCTGATGGATATCTTCAAATCTGGATATACGTTAGGAGATAATAGACAGATTTGCAGATGCATGTTATCATATGTAGGGATTCAACATGAGAATTCCCTATCAAATGGGGGCAAGTATGTACTCAAGTACAGATGGACTGATGTAACAGCGCGAGAAAAATCATATCGTGAGTGCTGAACAACGAAGAACATGACACGGATTTGGGAAAAACATATTGATCGATTTTCCTAGTGTTTATATGTATCTTCTCATCAAACCAATAACTCATCAAAAAGTGAATAGCCAAAAACAAGGAAATTAAAACGTCAAATCCTAGCTCCTATCATCAAAAGTTATAATGGATTAATCAAAAGAGAAGAAGAAGAAGGTAATAATATAAGAAGAACCGAAACAAGCAGAAAGAAAGAATTGTTGAACTTTCCTTTGATTTTGCCTTTAGGTCACAGATCGAGATCCAAAGCTGAACGCGCCTCCCTTTTGGAGGAAGACGACGACGACGGAGACGACGCCGCGGAGGACTCCGCGCCATGACGAGGCAATTCTAGTAGCCTTAGAGTTGGAGTCCTTTGCTGCCACCCGGGCATCTGCAACGACAATGCATTGCCCTGATGGCTAGCCTCGCCGCCGCCGTCTCCAGAGTCTGACAGCGGGTTGTTGTCCAGGTTGACGCCGAACAGCCGCACGCGCTTCGCGGCGGTCGTCGGGCTCTCGATGACTGGCACCGAGTCAAGAACGACCGGCCGTGACGCGGCGGTAACGCCGGCGGCGCTCGGTTGCACCGTGAAGTGATGCAGCGGCAACGACAACGGGCGCGGCTGGGGCGGCGCGTGATGAGGAGGCATCCTGGCCGAGCCGAAAAACAGGAGCTGCCTCCCCAAGGTCGGCGCGGGGTAGGTCGTCATGCTCCGGAAGTCGAGGTCCTGTCTGAGGCGGTGCTCGTAGAGCGTGGCGGGCGGCGAGGGCGGCATGAAGAACCCTCCTCCTCCTCCACCGCCGACGCCGCCGATGCCGAAGCCCCACGGGCTGTAGTGGTGGGGGCCGTAGTGCGACGCCAGCGGCATCGGCAGCGCGAGGCCGGAGAAGCGAAGCGGGCCGCGGGTGTCGACCCGACGCTTCCAGTCGATGAACAGCCGGTGGCGCGCGTCCTCGGCGGCGGCGCGGGAGAAGGAGACGGTGTCCCCGGCGACGAGGCGCTTCTCCTTGACGAAGCGGCTCCAGCCCTTGGTCATGACGTAGCTCTGGCTGCTGTTCCAGTAGGAGTAGCGGAAGCGCCAGTGCTTGCCGGCGCTGTCCTCGAAGCTGAGGAGGAGGCCCTTCTCGTTGGCCGCCGCGTCCAGCGGGAAGTACTTCTCCGCGTACAGCTTCGGGATCACCAGCCGGTTGAGCTTGCCCACGTCGCTCGGCGTCACCACCTTGTCGAACATGTGCTCCTTCTCCACCGCCTCCACGTCCGCAGCGCCGCCGCCGCCGCCGCTCACCGACGCTCCGGCGGCATCCCCCGACGCGGAGCGGAAGGGGGCGGCGCTGCTGCTTCCCGAGGCCGCAGACGCGGATGCGCTGGTCGAGGCGGGCGCGGACGCGGAAGCGGCCGCCGAAGATGGCGCGGTCCCGGCCACGGCCGCCGGCATGAAAGAGATCTCGCGCATGGAATTGGACGCGTCCTCCTGCTCCTCGTCCGCCTCCTCCTCTCTAGAGAATCTCCCGCTCGCGGCGAACTGGTCCATAGTAGATATCACTTACCAGAAGCAGTTAGAACTCTACTCGACTGCGCTTGCTTCCTCTGGTATTTCTTGCTCCTCCCTAGCTTGGTTCCACCACCTGCTTCTTCCCTCCCCTCCACTGCCTGCTACCAGCTAGGTTCTGCTGATGCGATGACAGCCGCTGGAGCTAGCTGGGAGCTGGGCAGAGAAGAGAGGCATGCACTGTTGCCCAGCGCAAACGACGACGACGGCACGACGTCACTATAGGGCAGTAGAGCGGGATCGGATCTACCTATGTATGCGTGTACGCAGGCTTGGCGTTGCTGTTGCTTTCTACTCTGGCTCTGGGGAGGGAGGGGGAGGGGGAAGAAGGACGGGAGGCAGAGCTAGACGGGGAGAAGAATTGGCCCGCCGGCGTCCGCATTGACGGCTGCACAGTGCGGCGGACGGATGTGGCCAAATGGATGGGGATGCAGATGCGGATGGCGACGGAGACGCGGCCGGATAGATGGTGGTGGTGCTCGTGAGTTGCTGGGTGCCTGCCTGGGTGGTGTTGATCAGCGAGGTTAATTTGTGGCTGTGGCTAAAGCTAGCTGCTGCCCTCCTGCACAGCAACAGCAGCACCAGTGCTGCGAGCGGCGGGTGTGGTGTGGTGTGGTGTGGGTGTGTGTTCCTTTGAATCCTTTCGCACGGGACGGGTACCGGGAGAGGCCAGAGGGTGACTGCGCAAGAAGATTCCTGGAAGGCGACGAGCGCCGAGTACACTGGGAGGAGGACTGGGAGTAGTAGCTGCTGCAGTGCCGACTTTGCCGTATTTTTTTCTCCGCAAGTTTCTTCCCCCGTTCGGCCAATTCCTTTCCTTTACATCACTGTGCCGCATGCAGTGCTGCTACAGGTACAGTACCGGCGTCCAGCTCAAATGAAGCTCCTGGAGTCCTGGATTTTTCTTTTCTTCTTCAATAAGTGATTTTCCATTTATATTATTATTATTATTAGTAGCTCTCTTTGGATGGAAAACGTCTCTGTGTTCGTGGAGAAGGGAACAGTCAGGCGTAGTAGAGTAGAGAGAGACGGAGGAGCAGGGAAAGTGGGGTGTACTGTAGCTAGTCAGCTTTATAAAGGGAATGGAGGGGGTGTGGGGGGCCCATGGGCTTCGTTCCGCTGGCTGGGGTTGGGCTCATGTGAGCGATCGTCCTTGTCACCATGCATATATACGGGTATCAAATATCGCACGCCCACGCCTGCCTACGGCTTTGCCTGCCCGAGGGATATATACCCGCTGCTGCTCTAGGGCCTAGACCTAGCTCCTAGGCTGGCCCCCAACAAATACCATCTCCATCGAGGGGATTTCCAGAGCCCACTTGCAGGGTCCGATGTGTAGTGAAAGGGGTGGCTTCCACACGGGCTGAATAGTAGAAAAAGTTCTCCTTCCCTGCCAAATTCTTCAAGCAACAATTAATACCGAGCCTGCGACAGGAGGTCCTATGTACAGTAGCTCTGATATACATATACATATACATACATGTATCCATATGTGTTGGAGCGAGTGATGAAATTAGCTAAGTTTCCATCTAAACTCACTCCAATACACATGGACTGAGGTAAATACGAATGCATTCAGATAAGGCCTGCTTATGTGTATTTTGGCTATCAGCAAATTCTAAAACATTTGGTTTGAAGGATCGGAACGTGACGATTGTTACATTGAAGAATACTAAGACGTTCTAAATAGTGTCCTTGTGTACAAATTTGGAGACACGTCTCTTTTTCTTTTGCGATAAATTTGGAGATAGTATCATTTACAAAACAACAAGTTTTTTATTATTGAAGGGCTTATTATGGGGCATGGTTGATGAGTGGTAGTGTGTCTAGTTGTATTATTGGCACATTAAATAATCTATTACATTTTTACTCCAAACTTTTCTTAATACTCCATATTAGTCGAGATATACTCCAGTGTTGAGGCTTCGTAGAGAGTTGGCTTTAAATAAATAGTACTCCCTCCATGTTCCTGAAAAAAGTTGTTTTGGACATAGACACGGTCTTCAAAAATAACTTTGACCGCTACTTTTTGTTATAAAATATAGTCAATATATAATTTTATAAAACTATATTTCGAGATGATTCTACTTAATTATATATCACTTTCATATTTTCAAACTCAACTCAAAATAATTTATTTGCAGTCAAAGTTCCTGCAGGAGTACCTTTCGCCTTGTCCATTCATAACTGCATTATTAATCCAACTAAACAACACAATTGGGCGCTCTTAATCTACCTATATATATAAACATTTGGGGGAGGACCCTCCGATCCCTACGTAGTAGCTTAGTTAGTACATTAGACGTACAATCACCATCTCACGGTTCACATATATAACTATATATACTTAAATCTTCCTCTTCATGATAAGGCAGCGTAAGATGTCTCTTTTTGAGAGTAAATCATGGAGATCCATCAGATACTCATCAGTTAGGAAGAAAAACGCATTTGCCATCTATATGTCGCCTTCTTTCTTTTTTGACATTAAATTTTGTTTTACACGTCTCACCATCCAATCCAACTACTATATCCGGACTCCGGCATGCATGCGTGTCTTGGTGGCTTGGTGGAGCCATCATCTTTCGGGCGTTAGGTATAAATCCATGGTGCCGCCTGCGTAGAAGTATGAACAATGTTTCTTCGAATCGAGCTCTTCTTGAGTAGAGTGGTCAAGAGGCATCTCGATCCCCATCAGACAAACCCTAATTGTACACTGCAAAGGCTAGAGGCTCATCCTTTCCCTCCTCAACAATGGGGTCCATTTAGTGCGCATGCCGTGGCTTGTTGGAGAGAGAAAAAGATGTGGGAGAAATGGAAGTAAGAAAACATACACAAGAGTGGGTTGGGGGAGGGCAGTCTTCTCCTGGACCCCAATATGCAAGCTGATCACCTATAGAACTTGGGCAGAGACCAAAAAGATGCCTCTCAACTCTCTCAAGACTTGAGCAGGGGTTGGTAAGTAACATGCATGCTTCGCATACGGTGATTCGAAATGACAATGACAAGGAAATAAAGCAGCATGTGAGTATGGTTGAGGTGCCCACTCTGCCAACATGGGATCTAATACTCTAGGCTAAGCTAAACTACTCCAGTGACGCAGTTATCTTCACGTGCTTTCAGAAAGGATCTCCCCACGTTTATCTAGAGGGTCTAAAAATTATGAAACTAGACGATTTCCCATTGCTGCTGAATTTTGTAGGTTTTATAGGAGGATTTATCTGAGACAAAATGGTGAAATCATAAAAATAAAAGTTCCCTCGCTCGCTACTTGATTTTGGCCTCTTATGCAGCCAAGAAAACGTGTGAATAATCTAGCTTCTTTGGACCATAAGATAGACCTGAATTACACATGGTGGTCATGGACATAGTTCTTAGTTCGGATCATACATATGTACCTGCGAAGGCCTCGCCTACTCTCTGTCCTTCCATGTCCTTGCCTAAATTTGTCTCTCACATGACAATTTCTATTGTGTGTCAGCATCTTTGATTATGGTTCCTGCGGCTTGGTGCTGTGATGTTGTCCTTTCCACGATGTGCAACCCCGTGCATCGAAAGAATTGTTGGATTTAATTGGGCTGTCTCATTTTTATTCAGCAATTAAATCAAAGAAAATTCCAAGACTTGTAATATGCACCAATCCTTTATGCAGTGTAACTTATGGGTTGATGAGTGTTAAGTTCATGATGTGCATGATGGCTATTATGTATTAGTGGTTCATGATGACTATTATGTGCCAGTGGATTATGATGTTTTAATTTCCGTGGTTTTTGTTACTAGTGTCCGGCAATTGATTTGTCAGTTACCAGTAACGGACGACACTATGATGACCACTATCTCGTCATGCGCCAGGCACTTCATCTTCGTTTTATTCCTGCATAAAAGGGGGACAGCTTCTCTTGTTCGCGAGAGAGAACTCGTAGCCAATAACATCACCACGCTACTGGTTGCTCTCTGCCATTCCCATCCCATCCTGATTCTTGCGTGCACAAGAATAGGGAGAGCAGGGCCGAAATTGCTGGTCGCGAGGTCATCTCTCGAGTGAAGACCGACAATCAGGTTTTTGGGAGCATCTTCATACGACAGTTTGTTCGTTTGTTCTTCTTGCTACGTCCCGACGACTTGGGGTGATCAGCAATATAACATTACTGCACGGCACCAAGCGGGACGACTACATCGACAACCGCTATGTCAACTAGCGTTGGTTCTGGTGCCTCTGGGTATACTGTTGCAATCCGTCCTTTGTTTTCTATGATTAAAATCATGATGATTATTAGTATCATGAATATGTTTGTTGCGCTTAGATCATACATGCACATGTCTGATGTCACAAACATATTATTTATATTTTTCTAGATTAGATTGGTACTGAATTTGCCTAAAATTCTAACAATCTAAAAACCTGACGGGCAATTTTTGGTAGTTGGATTTGCGAGTATGCTGAAACCAAATATTTTTGAGGGCACACATTACAAGAGGTGGAGTCAGAGATGCAAATTATGGTTGACTACTATGCATTGCTATTTTGTTGCCGAACCTAGATCAGTTGGACCGCATATTCCTGAGGAGGAGCGTGTGTTTCAAGACACTGATACTACGTTCAAGGGGGGCAATAATTGACGTGCTAGCGGACTCCATTGTACATGCATATGTGAGTTTGCCTACTGGAAAAGAAATATGGGATGCACTTGAGGTCAAATATAGAGTTTTTAACCCCGCAGGAAGATCAACATAGGTAATACACATGGGTTTTAACATGGGTACTGAGCTCTGGATTTTCCACATGGGTTTCAACATCAGCATGTGTATTACCAGTTCATGCACCTCAGGTAATAAAATAGAATCATGACCAAAAGTGCTAGGTGTATTTTTCATAGGAAATTCACTCAAAAAAAGTAGCACATCTAGATTCCATAATTGTACCAATATTCATATCAGGTGCTCTAGAGTTTATTATTAAAAATCTATAATCCACGTTGTTAATA